TAACAGGAATGCAGGCAATGAAAGCCAAGCTGGCGTGGTTTCAGAAGAGAGCAAGGGCTCCGACGGGAACCAGCGTGACACCTGATCATCACAAATGGTGACAGAGAGCCTAGCTGCATTCTGGTTATTCCTGACATTTTGAGTAAGGCAAACTCCAAAACAAATCAACTAACTTGTTGAGATGGAGTGTCCAAATAGCTTAATGTCCAAGCTGTGGCATGGTGACTACTTACCGCTCTTAGTGTCCACAGAGAAAAAGAGGAAAGAAAAATAAAGGAAACAGCCACAGCAAAAACCAAGTCCTAGAGTGTGAGGGAGAAAGGAGTATAATTAGGGAAACAGACAAGACAGATGCAGACAAAGCAAATGGAACTGACAGAAATGAATGCCACCAAAGAGAAACCCCTGTTCTCTATGGGGACAAAAGGGGAGATGCTGTGAAGAAAAGACCCCAGACTCAGGAGAGTCCTGCTTGAGAAAATGCTTACTTACTAGGAAGCATAGAGACAGTGAATTGAGAACGCACCTGAAGGCACTTACAAACACAGGGAAGTACTTTGCTAATACTAACCCCCATGGTGCACTGGGGCCACTTCAGGTGAGGTGAAGAGGGGCAGATTACAGTTCAGGCTGATAGCATCATCACACAATGCTTTCAAAATGTAAGGCTTACAGGGTGGGGGAGGTTCTAAAAGGTGACAGAATCCAGTGTGCAGCCCGAGGACATTCATCATGTCAAGACTGCAGAGTGTCTACTAAGAAACGCTGCTACTGTGGAGGCTTCGTGTGGTGCAGGTAGCAGGGCTAAGGAGCAGAGCTGCACAAGCTTGTTGGATCAGATAATGTGACCCCAGTCTCCGGGCGCCATGGAGTTTCAACGTTTGGTGTTGGCCGTGGGGTACCCCCCTGCTCCCTGTGGAAACAAGGGTGTCTACTCTGTGACATTGCATAGTGGAAATCTGTGACGAGGTCCATGATTCAGAAGAGAGTTTGGACTTTTCAGCAGTGTTGAAACTGTTAATCCCATGGGCAGTTTTAAAGTTAAAATCAATGTATTTTGCATTATGAGATGTTCATTCAGAGGGCCAAAGGTAGAATCTTACAATTTAAAAATGGTATGTTAGACATGGACAGAAGTGGGTGAATAGCGGGGAAGGGAGGATCTGAGAGGAGTTGGAGAAGAGAAACACATGATCAAAATATATTGAATGAAAAATCTTTAAATAAAAAATCTTTATAATTAAATAAAAATGAAGTATTAGATGTCGAGTCAATAAGAGATGGGCTTGTGATACTTAATCTTCATCATCAAATAACTCTAAGAATATGAAGGAGTCACACCTCTGGGCAAGTGTGCAAGGACATTTTCAGAGAGTCTGAACTGTCGATGAGAGGGGTGCTGACCCATGGACTGAGGTTCTCAACTAAATAAAAGGGAAACAGAAAGTGATCTGAGCGCTCAGATTTATCTCTGTGTTTTCTGTTCACAGAGACAGTATCTCTAGGGGCCATTAGCTTGCTCTTCAACACCTTCCAACCATAATGGACCATGTTCCTCAAGCCAGAAGCCAAAGCAAATCCCTCCCTCCATCAATGGTGTTGTCGGGTATTTCGTTACAGAACCTAGAAAGGTGGCTAACACAGCCCCATGTGTGATCCTACATAGAGAGAAAAATGCAGCATTTTCTAGGATTTTCCTGGAAAATAGCATAGCAGATCATGGATTCCAAGAAGGTACCTAGGTTGTGGAAGAGGAGACAGAAAGAGTTTAAGAACCAGAGGGGAAAGAGGATACCAGGAGAACCAGGTCCTCTAAATCAACTGAGCAAGGCTCATATGAACGCACAGAGACTGAAGCAGCAAGCACACGGCCGACACGGGCCTGAGCTAAGCCTGAGCTAAGCCCCTGAGTATGTAGCACAGCTGTCAGGTAAGTGTTCTTATGAAACTCTTGGGTGTGTGAACGAGTCATTCTCTTGGGGCTCTTTTTCTTCTGTTGGTTGGTCTCATCTGACTTCAGTGCGATGGTTTTCTGTTATGTATTTTATTTTGTTGTTATTAATTAGAAGCCTTTTTTGTCTAATGAAAGACAGAAAAGGATTGAGTCCAAATGGGAGAAGAGGTGAGGAGGAACTGGGAAGAGCAGAGGAAGTGGGAATTATAATTAGGATATACTGTACGAGAAAAGAATCTATTTTTAATGAAACCAGAAAGAATAAAAAGTTTATTAAAAAAGTACTGGCTGAGGACCTTGAGTATCTGGCACATTCCTGGGATCTGGTTACTTAATTTCTCTTTACTCTGGTGTGGTGTGCTCCTCCGTCTGACCCAAAGGGATAAAAACACTGGGAAGGGTATTTGGAGTCTTACGTGTATGCGTATGAAAACAAATAAGTCTATATGCATATGTGGTATGTTAAGCTATGTTGAAATATACCATGTGTCACATTGTGCAACTGTGAGAGCATGTATTGATGTGTAGCATAAGCATACCTCATGCTTATACACACATGTTACATATAAGCCACATGCACACACCCCCATGTTTGTATTCATATAGAAGTGAACCACATCATTTTCCTATATTGTGACATTTTTAGAGATATTTCACTGATTTTTTATGTTTCCTTTCTTTCTGTACTTTAGCCAGATAAAAAGTGTTGGAATGAGCAAAGCCATTTGTTCCCACAGCTTCTAGGCTGGTGTCTCCTGCTTTCCATCTGTTCCTTTTTCTGGGTCACAAGATGTCTCCAGAAAATACTGAGAACTCATGTAAATGCGTTTATTTTATCTTAATTATTTAACTTTGGTCACTGGTCATGTAGTATGGCATATTTGAAAGCAGTACACGTCTTAATTTGAGGTCGGTATCTTGCACACATAATAATATACCATAGAGTGGATCCTCAATTCTTCACTGATGTTAAGATTCTCCCTGAGAAAACTCTGTTTCCAAGTAATTGAGTTATAAATCTCTGGAGCAATTACAGAATATGAGGGGAAAACAACATATCCAGATACAAGCAATGGGGTAATTTCATGCAGTGGTCGAGCAGTCTATCAAGAGGGTCATCATGGAAAACCTTAAACAAAATCAAATTCCTTGTACGAGCTGATTTAGACAAGGCTTCGGTGAACTACTTTTGCTGCGAGGTAAAATAAAGAGAGCTTGTTTGAAATCAAGGCCAGGCACAGTGATTACAGATTCTCTTTGTGAGACTGTGATGTGCTTAATGCTTCCTCAGAGGCAGAGACAGCATCTCCTGCCCAACCAACAAAGCCTGCTACCTCACCAGCTGGGAGAACATCTAATGCAGCCTGCAGATATAAAATCTTCAGACTTATTTTAAGTTGGAGGGTCGTATACATCCAGCAACCCCTCTCATCTCCTGGAGGTTCTCCCAGCAGTTGACAGCGGCCTGCCTGCACAGTACTGATTCTTCGTCATGATCTTCTGATTCAATTGACCCAGGAGGCCACTGAGCACCTGGTGGCTGCACCGTCCTCTGATCAGTGTTAGAGGGAAAAATGCTCCTGAATATGGTGATTCCGTCTCCCTTTTCTCGTGGAGATGGCTGCAGACTCCCCTGTAACTGCAGATTTTTTAGAATGCTCAAATGCAGACAAGCCTAATACAAAAGAGCACTGTAAATTATGAATAACACAATATATCTGTGTTACTTCGAAGCTTCATTCTCTGTGTTTAGCACACAGGAAACATTTAGCATGCAAGAGAATCCCCCGAGTCTTGTTTCATAATCTTCTCCTGGCACCACTGTCCCCCAAATTGGGTAGTAAAGTTCCTTGCTTTCACTGTACGCCATGGTGGACTAGAGATCTAGAATCTTGCCCTGTTAACTGTTCCTGGATTCTAGAGCCATTCAGAAATCGCAGCTTCATGTGTTTCTTTGCACGCTACTGATGAACCCCTTTCACTACCACTGACTAGATTTTTATGTTCGACTCAGGAGCAGTAAAAGTGATACTCGAGCTGAAAGCACTGGGTCCTTCGCTCTTTTTCCTAACTGTAAACCATGCTGGTGAAGTTACATTTCCTGTTGGTGGTGAGGGAATGAGGGAGCCATCAGAACAGCCATTATGTGATGAAATATAAGTGTATCGTTGAGTAAAATGCTGCTCTGGGAAATGGAATAACCCTGTCATGTGCTAAGTTAGCCAAGAGCTTGTAAGAGCTCTCTCGCTCGCTCTCTCTCTCTCTTTCTCTCTCTCTCTCTCTCTGTCAACATAGAGAGCTGATCAGATTTGTGATGCTGATAAAAATCAAGGGCAAAATTGTCATATGAGACAACTGAAAATAGAGAGAGGTATAAATGAAGAATGATTCTTTATTTCTTAGCTGCCCAGACCCAAATAACCACACAGAAACTATATTAATGACAACACTGTTTGGCCAATAGCTTAGGCATATTCCTAGCTAGGTCTTACATCTTATATTAACCTATTTCTATTAATCTTTGTATCAACATGAGACTGTGGCCTACCGGTAAGGTTCTGGTGTCCTCCTTCGGCAACTACATGGTATCTCTCTGACTCTGACTATTCTCTCCATAGCTCTGTTCAGATTTCCCACTTGGCTGTGCTCTGCTAAGCCATTGGCTAAAGCAGCTGACACAGCTTTATTGGCCAACCAATAAAAGCAACACATATACAGCAGGCCCTCCTCTCGATTCACAATCATCTCAGATTTTCATAGGTTGTCCAGGTACCTGCTTAAGCTATGCATATCCTTGTGGTGCACCTGTCAGTGTTTTTTGCTCCCTCCGGGAAGACTATTGGCACTGAGCAAAGTATAACTTACACTAAAATCAATAATAAATAACATGCAACTTTTTGTATGTCAGAGCAGTGGTATCCACATATGTTCATGATAGTGTGTGCATAAATGCATACAAATATACATGCATGGAGGAGGAAGAGAAGGAGGCACTTTCTCTGCTTACAAATGACTCATTTTGCTTAAGAAGTGAAAGCATGAGGGGGCTAGAGGGAGAAAAAGCAACAGGAGTGGCTGAGGGGACAAGATATGGCAATGGGGGTAATTGAAACACATTTCAGACACAAATGTATGAAGCTATAATGAAACCCACTGTACAATGAATAAGCTAATAATAAAAGTAAGACAATTAGAAAATGTTTACACACTATTATTGATTTAGTTCATGTTTGTTGCATACATACATTCATTCTTAGCATTACCAAATACTTACAGTGTTAAAGAGAAACATTTTCTGCTCTGTTGGTCCCTTCTTCCCTGTGTATTTAGTGGCAAACATGATTTCAGCACTCTCCTTGCCCTTTGACCTCAACCCAGGTTCAATCCAGGTTAGTGATGCCTTTGTACGTCTTGGAGACAAGCCTGCCCACAAGTTCTCTTCTGTTCTTGTCTGCCATGAAGCTTTTCCAGGATGTTCCTGCCAGGCACTTGCCCTGTTCCAGTTGCCAAGAAAGAAAAACCCTGCTTAATTTTTCAATATAATGAGACTCATTTGGCATCAATACAACCTCCAAGTTGGCCTTGATTAACAAGGACAATGACATACTGGCCTCTGCTACTCTCTTTCCCTTCTATTTATTCAGAACTCAAGTGGAGAGAAGGAATAAAAGCACCAGCTTATTGAAAGGGAAGAAGAGGGCTAGAAACATAGTTCGCCGGGTTAAATACTTAGCACACCAGCAGGAGGCCTTAAAGTATGAGGATCAGCACCCACTGAAAAGGGCGCGATGTGTAGCTCACACTTGTAATCCTGGATGGAGGCAGGCAGATTCCTAGACTCACTGGCCAGTTTCACCTTCTGTGGCAGATCTTGTTTCAAGAAAATATGATGGAGGACAAGTAAGGAAAAGTGCTGAAGGTAGCTTCAAATCTAGACCACAAGTGCATGTGTGCATGTGTGTGTACACACACACACTCTCACACACACACTCACACACACTCATATACACACTCACACACACTCATACACACTCTCACACACACACTCACTCACTCACACTGACACACTCACACACACTCACACTTGAATGCACACAAATACAGACATAAAACGATAAGGAAAAGGAAGGAGACAAAGGAAATATATTTTCTCTTATATTTTGTAGAGAACTTTTTGACCTCTGTCACAGTTATCTCTTTCCTCGGATAATCCGGAAACAGTCTCAGAACTGAGTGTTAAAACCAGTCACTGGTAGCACAGACGTTTAATACCAGCATTCAACAGGATGAGGCAGGAGGGTGCTGAACTTGAGCCGAGCCTGGAATAATTAAGGGATAGCCTGTTTCAAGAACCTCAAACCCAAGATACGACAAATGTATTTCTGCTAGTCATGATGGATGCTGTCTGTTTCTAGCACCATCGCCAGGTGGTTGGGGTGGTAGCCATCTGCTGGTCATTTAGCTGACTGTCCAGGCTAATTCTGAGGCCTGATATCTCAGACAGGATAGCAAGTGTTTGCGAAACCCTGCTGTATGAGAACTGACAGTCAAAGGTACAAGGAACAAGGAGAAGAAAGCAGGAGGTAGCCAAGTCCAGGATTGCCCCCATGCCATTTAGTAGCTACTTACAAACAGAAGCATGTAAGAGGTGGCAGCAACAGAAGACGGTCCCCACAAACCATGGCACGGGAAAAGGGTCTATAGGCACAACATGCTCATGTGACAACTGATGTTTATCCTGTGAATGCCAGGGTTGGATGGCACAGGGGAAACAGTGACAACCAGGATAGCTGCTCACGCCAAGCTGGATCTCTACAGTAAGGGTTCAGCTGCCACTGATTGGACGGCTCTGATTTCCCTCCACCTGACTATGTAGAATTCCTTCACACAGGAAGACTGGGGAACCTCATGACTTACTCCATCACTGCACAGCGTCAGGGGCTCACGGGATTAGACTTCTGAATGATTGCCGCCTCCTCTAAACAACTGTGTCTCAAGAGATAATGACGTAACATTTTGCATGACCTAGACTTGGAAGCCCAGAAACATAAACATCATCTTTGTGCTTCAGGACACACACAGGGTCAATGCAGATTCAGCATGTGAAAGCCTAACGTGTTCACCCAAGCCCAAGCAGCCTTGCCTGTGAGCAGTGTGTGTGGGAGTGGGAGGGCTTAACCAGTGCCTGTCACACTGGAAGCACGGATGTTTGTTATCAGAAGTTTCACTTATTTGAAGGCTTATTGGAGAGAAGTATAATTTGCTAACTTTAATTTTTCAATGCTTGTCACTGAGAGTAAAAATTTATTCATCAATCTTATTATAATTAAACTCTGACTAAATACTGATTATGACTTCAATGAACTTGTAAGGTGTTCAATAAATCTGCGTGCTTTCCTTTTCATTTTGAAAAAGATCTGCTTTTCTCACATGTTTTTCTTTATTTCAAATAAATTACAGAAGTTGAATTTTAAAACATAATATGCAACACATTTCCTCCATCATAGGAAATACTTCAAAATATAACTGCTTATATGCCTGAAGGAGATAGCAATTACTAATCCTGGGATGCTGTAGAAAAAGGTAAAGTCAGGCCATCACATGACTTTTCTGTGGAGACATACAGAAATGACCGCTCATTTCATATAGAACAGAGACAGATTGTGAAAATGCTTCCAAGTTCAGCTCAGTGAGCTGGTGAGTTTATTTTGGTCCCCATAAAGATGTAGGCTGGAAGTTACTTTCAGGAAAATGGATTGACAGGAAGGCAGCCATGCCTTTGAAGAGTGCTATCACTATGTGAATGACAGCTCACAAAGCTGAGTCCTTGGAATCCCACCCTTAGGTACCCTTGTCTGTTCTCTAGAACCCCGAAGTCCACAGTTGGAGAACTGAGAGTGACAAGTGACATCTCAGGTGAGCCCCTTGTGACTTTGCCCTTCAGGGAAAGTGTTCGCAGCTCCAGCACCGTTACTGGGAACATGCTAGAGCAATCTCTGGTCTGCGGTGCTATTGTTATACACACAGGAAACAGGCATGTCACTTCACAAGCAAATGGGAAAGCAATTTGGAGGACCGAGTGCACAGGACACTCTTTCATGTGCAAGTGGACCTCTGGAAGCCAGGGTCTGTTGTGCAGAATGGGTATCCTGAACAGAATTTGATTTCTGTGTGGAGACAGAAGACAAGGCCGTATGATGCTGTTGAGGCTTAGCAAAGATGGGTAAAGTGGGTACCATGCTTAAAGCATTAGCATTTTTGTGAGCGTCTGTGTGCCAAGATTATTATGTCGAGACTATAGAATATAGCTGGTGCTCTAGATAAACACTTTTAGTTATTGGAAGCATGGGTTTCTGCTTGTTGTCTGTCTTCTGGGATGATATTAAGTCTGTCAGCTCGATCATGGGGCTTTCACTGTGCCCATCTGCACTCGGCAGCCAGAAGGAAGAGAAGCAAATGAAATGGCCAGTATCAAGAGTCTTTCCACAGGCCAGGGATGAAACTCACACACACGCTTTAATTGTGCTCTATGGGACAGAACTCGGGAGTGTTGCTGAAGAAAGCTGGAGCGTGAGACAAAGGGCTAGTTGGATGGTTGCTAAGCAGAAGACAGGGTCAGTGAGCAGATAGCCAATCTCCACCACATTCAGAAACTGTAAGGCTTGATCTTGGGCACTATCATAGTTGCAAGCTAATGCCCAAGAAGAGACAGTTAAGAGAAGAAAGAATCTAAGAGAATTTACTAGGTCATGAGGGCTCCCTATTTTAGTGGTGGAAGAAGTTGAAGGGAATTCTTTGTGCCTCCCTCACATAAAGATGCAAGAAGAAAACATCAGTGATAGTGCAAAGAGTGAATACACGCCACACACCAAATCCGATAAAGCCTTGACCTTGAACTTCAGAGTCTCCAGAGAACTCCAGAGTCTAAGAAATACAGTTCTGCTGAGAAAAGAAAACAAAGAAACACACAAAACTCTCACATATTTTGTTTTAGCATCGCTACAGACTTCCCACAGACACAGACCCCTTAACTTAATAAATTTATTCTCTCTCTCTCTCTCTCTCTCTCTCTCTCTCTCTCTCTCTCTCTCTC